CTGTTAAAACTGGGATAAGTGTAAAAAAAATCAAAAAATCTGTGATTCACCAGATGGTAATAAGAAATAATCATTATTTAATGTTTTTATCTATAAATTCACAAAATAAATTATTTAAATAAAATGATAAATTCACTCAGACACAACCAAATGTCAATATTTTACTCACAGGAACAGCCAATATAATGGTCGGTTTAAGAAGTGATGCATCTCCTTTACATCCAGATTTAATTGCTGTAGACTAAAAAAAAGAAACTTTTACAATAAAAGTAGAGAAAGAACATACAATACCATAGTATTACACAAGCTGAAGTTATATACACATCTAGAACACAAAATTACATAAGAAAACCTGTAAATATGGTTCCCATACCTTTGGCAAAATGGGATTTCTTGACTAACATATATTTCATTTTCTCTGAACATTTGATGTATGCTTGTAATGTATATGAACTATAATATGTGAAACTGCAGAACGTTATTAATGTATTATTTAATAAAGACAAGACAAGCTGCATGTTAAGAATCAGTTTGTTTAAATATCATCTAGACAATGTTCCAATATGATACTTTATCAGAACATACACAACAAAGACAGTCTATCCATTTCTTGAAATCAGAAAAACATTAGTACAGTATAAATAACACTAAAGATCTCAAGAATTGTGATTATTACATTTTGACTGATCCAAAGCACATTGTATTAGTTTTGCACATGCTTTGAAACTGTGCATATTAAGATCATCAATATCAATAGTATTGAAATCTGAAAATATTAAAAGTTGTAAGTCCTAATTATACATATAGAATATTTCATATATGGAATCAGACCCACTGATAAAACATCCACAGCATTTATAGTTGTATTATAATCCTACATCATTACAATGTACAATCATGCCTGTACTGTAACTGGCACAGACACAAATGTAATTGTATGTAAATATGTTCATCACTGACAGTGATTCTGCAATATTATGCTAATTTAATAAAAACTGCTACTACGTAAAACTGTTACTAAAACTACTCATTTGTTTTAATTCTAGTATGGTCTTTGGATTTATACACAATGACAAACACTAACACATCACCTGTTCTCAACCACATCAGCACTACACAATCTCCACTATAAATTAATTAATTAATATTTCCATCTCGAGAGTATATCATGGCCCACAGTTCCAATACAATACCTAAAATTATTAATCCAATCCTGTCGAGCTGCACACTCTCATCTTTACCTTTAGTTTTTATTCTTTTCTATCCATAGCATCGTGTTTATTGCTTGACAAACAGTAAACTTTTCCTAATATGTTACTCAGATATCAGATTCATTAAATTACAGGGTATTACGTAAATATGATGCATTCAATTATTCAGTGGCACAAGATCAACTGTTTACACAAATATTCATGGATAACAAATAGTGCTGTATTCTCAGAAACTTAAACCTGCTATATTATTACTTACTGCCGATGAAACATTAATTTTCAACATTTACTTCATTAAATTTTTTTTCCATAACATGCTGTTATCTCGACATTACTGATATTATACATTGTCATCCATATTTTGTATTATACAGGTTTTTTTACTTAAATGTCACTGGTGATATTCTACTTTTTTCTTGGAGATATGCCAATCAGTGACACCTGCCCAAGCTGTACCATGCATCATAATGCCATGTACTATTGACAATGCTAAGTGATGTATATTTTGTTTTATAAAAAATTAAAACATGTTTACTGACAAGTTATTTTATATAGTTATTTTCAATAATTAATTGAGTGAATATACATAAAGATATGAAATAAAAAAAAATCACTAAATCAGTGCCAGACTTAACAGAAAAAACATATTTCAAATCTTCCCTACATAAATATCACAGCAGTATAATATACCAAAGATATTATGTTTTCCTTTTATGACTACTGTTGTTGGAAATGTTATTATATCAAAGTATTAGGTCATCAAGAAATTAATGTGACTTTTTTTAGATGAAAAAACCCAAACAACTTATATATTAAAATAAAACATTTATTAATGTTTATTATCATTCTTGTCAATGATGCTTTTCCATCTTACAATCAGGTTGTTAATGCCCTGATTAAAAAAATCACCTGGCTTTAAAGCAAAAAAAAATGTTGATGTCCTCTTTAACACCTTCCACATTTGCACACTTTTTCCCATTAAGATGAATGAAGTGAAGTTGCAGTGAATGAAAAAGATGATAATCTGATGGTGCTGTATCTGGAGAATATGGTGGGTGGGGGAGAACTTCCCAACACAACTTCATAATCTTGTGTTGCACTAAACGTGCCAATTTGGACGTGCATTGTCGAGGAGAAGAACACTCTTGCGACTGACGAGTGAAGGGCATTTCTGATGAAGGGCTTTATTTAAATGCTTCAGTTGCTGACTGAATCTTTGCATAGATAGTTATTTGTGGACTGAAGAGTTCGAAATGAATTACTCCTTTGATGTCCCACCAAATGCAAAGCATCACTTTCTGCGGATGGAATCCAGGTTTTTGGTCGGAAGTGGTTTTTGTCTAGGACTGAGCCATTGTTTTTGGCATTTAATATTCACATAGAGAATCCATTTTTCACCACTGATGACAATTGTGTCCTAAAATGGTTCACGCGCCAGAAAAGACGAAGCAATGTTCACACATTGGAAACAATGATCATTGGAGAGTTTGTGAGGCACCCAAAACACCTTCTTTATGGAGTTTTCCCATATTCCATAGATGTTTAGGTATTGTTTCATGAGAGACATGCAATTTCAGGGCCATTTCACGAGTGTGTTGCCTTGGGTTAGACTCAACAAGCATCTTCAGAGCATCAATATCAATTACAACATGTCAACCCTTGCCATCACAGTTTTTAAGGCTAAAGTCACCTGAACAAAATTTGCTGAACCATCACTGAAACTTACGAACCTTCAAAACATTTCCATAAACTTCTTTGATATTCTTTGTGGCTACAGAGATGATGTTTCCCTTCTTATATTCAAACAGCATTACATGCCAAATTGTGTCTCATTATGTGCCATCACTATAAGGGTTTAGAGTATACTAAACTTTACACATTATATAGGCTACACTAACGTGACATTTAGGCAATTCTTTAACTATTATACGCGACATACATTTTTTTGGGGGGTGGTTAATGAAAGTGTTCCAAAACGCAACATTAATTTATTGATGATCGAATACTAACATTCATAATATCAAAATAGTCTACTTTATGGAACCAGTTTTAAATAGAAATTTATTAAGGGCTTTTAGCATTGTTTAGTACCCTTACACTTTGTTAATGCTGGAACCTAGATATTGTTTATGTAACCTATTACAGTTGCCTTCATGCCAATTAATGGTAAACAAAAATAATGATGAAGACAAAACAATATTTACATATAAAATTAAACATACTGATATGTTGAATGTGTCACAATTAATCTGTATGCAATATTTTTGGCATTAATTATAATTCATTTTTGTATCCTTCATATCCTAAAAGGCATGACAGAATCATAATGAATTCACTAACTATTTGCTATTTATGTTTGTAAAATGAAATTCTCTGATGTTTCCTAGACCAGGAATGCAAAATATAGAATCCCCCAACTTTTCCCAGTTTCCCTGACCCGTGGGGACCATGAAAAAATGTGGATTACACAATGATTTCCAAATACTCATATATCAAACACAGAATCAGAAAATTTTTTTAATATTAAAATGAATATTTAAGCACCAAATTATTAAAAAAACATATATTAAAGGTCAAAAACATATGGTTTAATTCAAAATACTGCAGATTCAATGGGATTTACAACAGGAAATTGTTTAGTTTTTTTTTTCATACATTTTATTAAATGATTGTAATTATAATGCTATGTGAAAATTAACATACTACAATTATTAGTGATAAATAACACATCTACCTGTTAACATTATTGAAACATAAGTGAGATATAACATAGACTTTAACATAATTCTTCCAGACCAGTTGTCCGAAACAATATATATGATAACCATAAACGTTTTCAAATCACCACCCCCACTTTGGAAAAAAAAAAAAAAGGGTGTATGAGCTCATTTTTATTTACACAAAAAAACAATTATTGAAATAACTTAAGGACACACTTCTACTGAACACAGCAAAAATGTAACATTCACTGATTAACTTTTTACAATGATAGAATGCTGGAACTTACTTTATCTGTCATTGTATGTGGTGAAGAGTAGCCTATTGGAACACCCTTTGCCAAGAAAAAATTCTCTGAAATATAGAGGAACATACAAAGTTATTTAAAAGATAAAGTAAGAATCCAGTAAAATACAAGACGGATTAACAACTTATAATGGTAATCACACGTGTAATTCTGATACCTGGTACTCACAATTCCATAAAAGTAACACAGATTTCTAATAATAAATTCAATTAATCTTTATTACTGCCACTGTTGTCATTTTCTGTGCAAAGCTACAGAATGGGCTATCTGCACTTTGTCTACTGTAGGGAATTAAACCCCAGGTTTTAGTGTTGTATTTCTGTAAACTTTCTACTAATCAACTGGGTGATGCTTTTTATTGTCAAGCATTTAATTTTTCTGTTTCCACTAAATGCATTTATTCTAGTTTGAGCAAAAGTCAACAGCTGTATCTAATAGCCGCAGGACTTGGAAAAATCCATTAAGCTTAATTTTTACCTTTCCTTCATTCTTAACATTTAGACAGTTCAGTATTTTCATTGCAAATTTAACATATAATCTTATAATAATGTTATCATTATTATTCTGTTGTCTGCCTGCATGGCTAAAGACACTAAACAAATAAACTATGGCAAGTCCAGTCAACTTTTGCAACTTTTATGAAGGTGTCATGAATACAGCAACTGAAAATCATTCTGTTAACTACCGTTTTATAGACCTGATTTATTCACAATAAAGTAATGTATTATATTTTCTAAGTCAATCCTGATTAATAAACTATAAACTTTTAAAATACAAGTTGCTTGCATATTTCTTCTGTTGAAGAAATTTGTATTTATTCAACGTTAGGAAATATTCCAGATAATCTATCACAGTTAAATATCCATTTGTGATAGGTAGACATTAAAAAATTTTTTATTTTATTAAAAATCACAGATTCGTATAACTGTTTTTCAAAAATTAATTTTAAGTGCATGAAACTGTGTTCAAATTGTAATGCAATTTCTGTCCCAACTGACAGAATGCATAAACAAGAAACCCAACATTCTGTGATATAGTAGCTTTGTATTTAACCCATAAACTGCTATTATTGTCAACTGACAATTAACCGCAAACTGCTAATTGACAATATATGCTTTCCCACCCTTTTTTGAAAAAAAATGTGTCACTCTCAGGAAGGTGTGCGTGTGTTCGTTCATTCGTATGCTCCAAGCCTCAGTTTTAAGCTAATAGCCATGGCAGAATCAAGTCCTTTGACTTCTCACACTGGTTTGAAGTGTAAACTCACCCCCTCACTAACACCGACCAAAATTACTAAGATGTTAGATGAATATAGTGATGAAAAAAGCTCTTTGGATGATTCTGACCCAGAATTCATTGCTCAGAAGGAGGGAGAAGAAAGTGTTGTGCATTTAATGGATGTGAAATCATCAAGTAAAAGTGGGGAGAATATGGCTCATGTGGATGCTGGGGCCTCTGATGTTGTCCCAAAAGACATGACCCGCCAACTCTTCAGCCAAGACAACACTTTGAGGGCAGTGATTTTGTGTGACATGATTATGTGTTCAATAACCCTGTTGGTGTCTAGAACAATGTACAAATAACTGAAGAGGATTCTGAGATGAACTACTTCCAGCTATTCTTTGACGGAACTCTTGTGAACCATATCATAAATGAAACAAATACTATCAGTTCTGTAAAGACAATGAAGCCATACCAACTTTTTCTAGAATCAGAGGTGTAAAGACACTGTTATAAGTGAATCTTATACCTTCTTGGCTTTGATTATGGTTATGCCACAGGCCAAAAAGCAGAACATCCAAGATTATTGGAAAAGAAATGCTCTAATATGGAGTTGTTTAGTAAATATATGGCATGTGATAAATTTCTGCTTCTCTTTCGCTTTCTGCACATGGCAGACAATGAGACCATTGATGTTAGTGACTGACTGTGTAACACACGGTAGGTTTCACATACATCAAGAACAAGTGCAATGAAATTTCTACTTTTCAGAATCTGGTCATAGATGAATCTTGTTTTATTTATGTCAGTTTCAAGCAATACGTTCTCAGTAAATGACATCATTTTGGCCTATAGTTATTCATGCCTTGTGAATGGGAAACAGGGATGGTTCTTGTCATGATTTTTATACACAGTTAATACCACAAACATTTCACAGAAAGACCTGCTTGGATTATCTTGTGCTGTGGTCAAGACAACGATGAACAGGTTTTTGGGGCAAGGTCATATTTTGTACCTAGACAATTGGTAAACGTCACCTTCTCTCTGACAATATCTCTCTGAAAATTAACACCGGTGTTTTTGGTACAGTGTGAGCAAAGCAGAAACTTATGCCAGACGTCTCTGCACATATTCAGCCTGGAGATTGCCAACTGCAGAAAACAGATAACATGCTGCATTAAAAGGTTATGAGGAGAGAGATCTGTATATGATGATGACATTGCATGAAGGAAAAAATGGCAGACAATGACAAAGTTCACTTCAGCACTAACAAGAAAATTATGAAGCCAAATGCAGTGATCGATTTATACACAGAACATGCAACTGGTGGACAGTCAGACATGATGATAGGATCAGTGGAATGTATACCTAAGTACATCAAATTGTACAAGAAACTTTTCATTTGATGGATGTCTCCATTCTCAATGCTTATAACTTGTACCTAAGCTAGTGAAAACACTAAAAAAAATGTTTCTACATGAATTCACTCACAAGGTGGTGTACCAGCTCCCACATAGACTTGATAGACAAGATCTGTGATATGAATATGATCAGTCATCACTATGTAGTACAGTTGCCAGCTACTGCATTCAGGAAAAATGCACAATGTCAGTGTCAGGGCTGCATGCACACTGTCTTCTGCGAGTGCAAGGAATGTGAAGTGCCACTGTGTGTTGGAGAATGCTTTAGGGATTATCATACCCCCCTCCCCCCAAAAAAAATACTGAAAACATTGCAAACTGAAGTGATGAAAGCATAAATAGTGTATAATAAACTGTAACTTGTATATAAAGATACAAGTTAATAAGTAAAACTTATTCCATCAATGTGTGTATGGATTTGGGGCAGTGTTTTCATGGAAATAAATGCTCATAAAGTGAAAAAAAACAAACAAACTAAGTATAGTGTAAATGTTAGTATTCCACTGTATCCTAGAGCATTATAAAAGTGTAAACAAGCATCACACACCCTGCTACGATACATAACCTTCACGCTCTAGGTGCTGAGATGTAGTTCTGGGCTTCCCGCATGCGACTTTACAAGCACGCCAGCATGATTACAACGAGTTGCACATTTATATTATTTATCACTTATATTTACATTTCTGTAAGATATATTAAAACAATTTTAACATTGAATTTTTACACACACGGTGGTCAGTAGAAACATTCGATGAACAGTTTAGGGGTTAAATGTCTTGCATATTTTGGAATTACTGATTTTTCTTAATTCAATTAAAAAAGCCTGAAAGCCTAAAATTCTTCTTAAGTTTTGTTGCCACAAACATGCCAAAGCCGAAACTAAGCTCAAAGTGACACATACAACTAAATTTTAAGACCTATAAATTTGACACCAAAATAAAACATTTTTAATATAATTTTTTGTGAGCTAGACTGATATTTTGTTTTCAAACTAATGCAAAAAGCATATAAAAAATATAAACTGCATTCAGAATGTACTAAAGAATTTCTGTGGTAATTTGCATAAAGTATGGGATTAATTATATTAACCCTAAAGTTATTATTCTGTTTTCAACACGTACAATGAATTTTTCAACCGTTAGATGCAAAAAAAGAAAGAAAAAAGTTCACCAAATATTTTAGTTTGTAATTGAAAAACAAATTTTTAGATGTTTTTCTATAAAAATAACACACAAAGAAATAAATAAAAAACATATTAAGACATTCATTCTTGAATAATGATGTTATATAGAAATGTTATATTCCAGCAATTACATAAAAAAAAGGGGACGTGTTTGAAATGTCATATACATACTAGAAACTGGTAAAAAAATGTTTAAATAGAAACAATAAGCTTGAAACTTAAAAATGTTATAGTAAGCTTGCTCACCGACATTAACTACCATTGATATGTGAATACAATATATATTTCTTACTGCATTTTTTATGGTGTTCAAAAGTATGATTTAAGTTTGTAAAACTTACATTATTATAAAAGTAAACTAAGACATATTTCAGACAGATGAACCTAACTTAAGACAGCAAATCAAGATCACTGCTATTAAAAGATGTTCATTAATGATGGATATAGAAACATCTGTAGTTATAGTATATACTTTAATACATACATAAAAATAATAAAATGTTGAAAAAACAGAAACAAACAAATATTCTATGATGTTTGGTAACAGCTACAACACTGAAACTTTAACAAAATAATACAAGCTGCTGTTCTTACTTAACTTACATCCTATCCAACCTCATTTATTACAAGTTAACCACCAATGGCTAAAGATTTTCAGTTCCAAGTTCCAAAAGACATGTCTTTACCTTAAAACTGGTACATCCTTTTTTAAAATAAATCAGTCCATTAAGAAGTAATCAAAACTGAAGTATTTAAGAAATATCTTACCGGCAGCTAGCTCAAATACATGTGCTAATGGGAGGTATGCCATAAAGAGTTCATTGTTTCTGTAAAAGAATTACAAAATTCTACAATATAAAAGAGGAAAAATAATTGGTGTTAACCATTACAATTCACAAACAATCTAATCACCCTGTATCACTAAGACAGCCCACTCTATATTTCTTCATATGTTGTGAAATTTGAACCACATAATCTCAAGGATTATTTTGTAGCACACACACCAATCCATCTATATAATTACACACTTCACAACATATTCGGGAGTTTACAGCTAATAATTACAATAATAATGTTGGTCTGATAGCACTTACCAATCCACCTGCACACTTTATAGCACATTCAGGAGTTTTTGAATTATAATTATAATAATCAAATTGGTCTGATAGCATTTATCAATCAACTAATTTAACTACACACTTTATAGCACATTCAGGAGTTTTTGAATTATAATTACAATAATCAAGTTGGTCTGATAGCACTTTCCAATCAACTAATTTAACTACACGCTTCAACTTAAAATTATGAAAGTCTTTTTTTTTTCAATATGAGAACACACTTATGGATTAAAATAATCTCATATTTGTGTATTGTTTGCACATTAGTACATACTAGTTCAAATAACTGGTTTCATTTAATGATAAATGTTTTAAAAGTTTGAGAGTCATAATAGCATAGAAATCTTTATAGGTATATACACAAAGTAGGACATCAAGAATTATTCCATACTAACAGAAACATCTACTAGGGGCAGCTGTGTGTGCTAGCAATTACTAACCATAGTATTCATATCGCAATGAAAAAAAATTTAGAAAAAGTGAACATTTTCTGAAAAAGGATTTTCCTGGGAAGTACTGTACAGGAAAAGTGTTCAGACTGCGCTGATATAAACTGTAATATTTTTATATATATTAAAAGTGGTATCCTTATTTGAAAAAATAATTTTTTTCAAGAACTTCAATTTTTTAGTACTACATTTGCAAATTACTTCAATAAAGATATAATCAAACCCTCAGTCCTAGTGAAAATTGTGTTCTTGTTGTAAGGTGAATACTTTTATTTAAAGTTGTGTTCTGTGATAAAGAAATGGTTGTTGCACATACGATATTTATTTTTCTAAGTGTCTGAATCCTGAATACCCAAAGTGTGAAATCTCTTTATGGATTTTTGTTTGAGGTGCCATTCAATAGATAGCACCAGAATGTATTTATTGTTTCAATCACATACATAACTTTGGGGTATACCCCCTGGGGGCTAGGGGGGAGCACAGCCTTTTGGTGGGAGAGCCCAAAAACAGTGACAGAAGAAACAAAAGAGTTGGAGATGACAATAACCTAACAAAACTATCAGTTTGCTCTCAAAACTCTTTGTTCTTGTATTTACTCATTCCATGCAGGAAATTTTTCATTCAAAAGATTTATTAAAAACAGGTAAAGAAAATGTGGATTTTGCTGTTATCATTTGTGAAAATCATTTTAATGTGAATGGGGTGGGAGTGGGGGACACAACAGAAACTTTACTGAGTTAGGGGGTGCCACTATTTAAAGTTTGGAAAACAGTGCCATATTAGATTGAATATTTTTAGAAGTATATAAATGTTTGATTATTAGCATAAATGTATTTATATTTGTCAATAATAAAATACACCATTCAAACTTGTGAATACAAACAAGTGATTCAATGGAAAAACCTATTGATACATGATTACTTGCATTATGCATTATAAAGCAATTAATATGATACAAAGCTGTTAATTACCATGCATAACATACTTCACAAGTGCTTTAACTTAAAATTTTTAGGAGCCTATTGGTTATCAGGACTGATTTAAAAATTAGAAAAATTCGATGTTTTTAAGTATTTGAGCAACCTGACCTTTATGCAGAGGGTGACTAAAGTAAAAATATATTTTAACACATATTTCTGCCCTACATATAACTAGTTTCTTACACTCCTTTCAAGTATGAAACACCACTGATGCTAGGACGTTTAAGTATACAACAATGGGAAAAATAACTGCAAATTTTTCTCCCTTTATCTGTTTATAACATATAATTACAGTGTTAAAATTGAATTATTATGTTGTCAGATGATGAACAACTTTTGTTGATGTGATGAATACATATATTAAACACATACAGCAAAACTGAGAATGATGTCATATACTTTGTTAGCTATTGTTCATTTTAACAGCAGATGGTGTATTACATCTGTACGCGTGCAGACAATTTATACGGCAGGCTGCTTTCTTAAAACTGTCTGATCAATGTAGAATGTTTGTATATCCTTCATTCACTCTGGAGAGAACAAAAACTTCCAAAACATTTGAAAAAAAATATCAGAATTAAAAAATACATGAAAAAATAATCAACTTAAAGAAACATTTCACGACCACCATAATTCAGACATGACCTTTAATACAATGCAACATTTGTGCACATACCTAAAGGAAAGTATCAAATTTTAGGAAATACGAAGCACGGTTATGCTCAGCATTTTTAATAGTTGCAATAAGGCTTTCATGATACTATAAAATCACACAAAATGACAAAAAATGTGATGAATCACAAAACAATAAACCCAATAATCCAAAAATTATGGGAAGATAACCCCATCTGAGGCACTAATATGGATTAGTTTTTTGAAATATTCACTTGCCAGACTTAGCAATATTTGTACACCCTATTCATACAAATTAGTTTGTTCGGCAATGTAAGTACATTGTTGAAATTAGTTATTTTATTTTACTAAAATATCACACAAATTTGGTATAACATGTATAACAGCACGCAATCTTACAAAATTAAGCAACTTTCTTTAAGAAGTTTACATTTAGTACATTTAATCTGAACATGAACATAATCCAAATGCAAAAAACAAGAAATCCTTCTTACGATAATTCAGATGTCACAGTTGCAAAACCATTTGCAGTGGCAACAACATTACTGTGGGTGATCATCACACCTAATAAAATAACAGTTCAATTAAATGGCATTGTCAAACCTATTATATAATTCAATCATCTCTATGTAATCATTAATTTAATTATACTTATCATATATATATATATATATATATATATAAGTTACTTAAATGATCATATTACCCATTACTTTGACTTGGTACATACAATGTTTTGTTTTTACTCAGGCAGCAATAATTTCACAAGATTCAAAAATTAAACACTACAAAAATTGCATCTAGTATTTATACCACAATAATCTAAAACACATCATCCATACTTTTCAAGGTAACTAATAGCTTTTGCATTAGATTAAAAGTGTTAGATAACTAACAACTGTTTGATAACATTTTATTGCAAATAATACTAAAATGACAAACTTATCTTTGGCTATAAACATAAATATTGCATTATTTAGAAGACTTATAATCAACAATGATGATAAGGTCTTTAATTCTTGAAATTCTATTAATATCAGCTGTTTATGAGACAAGTCTTAATGTTTAAAATGCCTTAGCTATCTGAGAGTGACAGTTTAGTATACTAACACGTGTGTGTAAGCACGAGATACAATATCACAAACATTACCCCTAAAATGTTATGCACCATTTTGATGATTCTACACTCTCAAAATTGAGGATAAGAATTTACTCTTACAGAACAAACATCTCATATTTTAAAAATTAACTTGTGTTATGTTTGTTGAATTTTGCACAAAGCTACTCAAGGGCTATCTGCACCAAATGTTGCCAACTTTTTACTCTTTACCAACAAACAGTGGAATTGACCATCACATTATCACGTCCCAATGGCTAAAAGGATGAGCACGTTCAGTAATGGCATTTCGCAGGTTATGTTATTAAGTAAAACTGATCAAGGCACGTGTGTATGATTTTATTTCTGAATAGGTGCCAGTATGCCAACTAAACATTCCATGATTGTACATAAAATTTGTTTAGAAAAAAGTTAGGTTTTTAATTTATAGATATGAACAAATAGATCTGGGAGTTGATCTTAAACTGAACATACTCAAACATATGCTTGCTTGAGTGAAGGTTTAGACCCTGTGACCCAGAACAGTGGTTCCCAACCTTTTTCTAATTAAGGGCCAGTTAGTTGTGATCCAAAATTTCATGGACCACTCCGTAAAACATTAACTTTTTAAAGTACAAAGCAAAACAATATTCTTCACTAGCTCTATTTTAAACATACATCTTTTTTTTTTCTGATTTATGGATTGGCAGAAATCTTCCTGTGGACCAGTGGCTGGGAATAACTGGGCTAGACCATTTTCATTAAGATGGCAAGTTCTCTATCAGTGCTCATAAACTATTTATGATTCTAAATTAAAATATATATGTATAGTCCAAAAACCAGGATACACGGTATATTTCTCCACTATGTAACTTGTACCTTGATATTATGTCTTCTGTTACTGCAATTATTTCTATATTTTTTAAAGCTTTTGTGCATTAATTTAATAATTGTTTATCATCAAAGATTTGGTGAAGCTTGATGTAATGCTTCACTTAGTTGAATTTCTTGTCCTGTATCTATTTTCATTAACCTTATTGAAACTAGTGAGAGAATGTCCAATTAAAAAAAAAAAAGGATATTTTAAGTAATTTGTCACTTTGTAAAAAATATATAAATGTTAAAATATAATTTACTTATTTGATGAAAAACAGCAGCAAAATATTATTGAAACTTATTTACCTTTAGGAACTCCAGTAGAACCACTTGTGTACATGATAATGGCAATGTCATCTGGGCCAGGAACTTCTCCTGTTAGTTCTGAAATAGTCACAATTTTTCTTTTTCTTTATCTAATAGGATCAAAGCAGTATATTTGGAGTTGAAATGGCTTAACTCATATATAATGAAACTTTTCAAAGATGCAAGTTTTAGATGTGAAAAATCTTTAATATTAAATTTTAAAAAAGTGAACCAGTAAAAAGGGCTACAATATTTTATTAGTTAAAAACTAACTTAAATACTTCTCCCATGGTGAGAGGTTTAGATGGACAGAGAAAAGTAAAAATAATATCAAACTATTTGAAATTAAAAGTCATTCTGTGTTTTACAAAATAGCCAACTTAATTCCTCACTCTTTCAATGCTTACAAAAACATATTCTCTGCTTTTTTGTAACAGGCAATTGTATTCATTGTTCATCTGAAATTTAGGACATTCTTTTTGTCTTATTTATCAAGCTTTACTGCCAGTATTTTAAAGAAATCTAGCTCTGTTTGAGAGATTATTGAAACAAAAATAGACAATCAAGAATAATTACATAAAACATTAATCCATAATTGAAATATAAAATTTAATTCAAACCTAATAAGCCAAGTGATTTTTTTTGCAGCATTATAGCTTTAGGCTTATATTTACTAGAAGTAAATTAAAGAAGTGTGTGAATATTCAGTTGTGTAGTTATTGTAAACATTGTGGATATATGTGTTGGGTACATCTTTCAAATTCAAGTTTCAATGGTAATACAATGACATTCTCAAAGCAATAAAAAAAATCTTGCAGTTCAGGCAAATCACATGAATGGGTAAAAAGCCTAAGAACAAACAACATCAATTTTGCAAAAGAAGTAATACATATCAAGCTTGGGAGCTTAGAAATACAATAAGAAGTATAGACTAACTTACCTTCAGGAACAATTACATCCATTCTTTAATGAACAAGGCACGTAAATGTAACACTAACATCAAATTATTTATAAAATTTACTTTACCTGGATCAGCTTTATGGCCAAGCTCTTCAATCTCCGAGAAAGGTCGCATATCTACTGAACTTGGAAAGCCATTCAGATCTGGATCCTCAAGTGCTTCCATGTAGATAATATGATTAACTGATGGCATTTCGTCAACAACATTCTGTGAATGAGGAAAAATACACAGATACTGCATTTTGGTAATAATATTGGAATAATTGAGCTTAAACAGTTTATAACCATCAAAGCTTTCAGGAAAAAGTTGCAGTACAGTGCCCACTTTTAATGTTAACAAAGCTCTATGATGAATAAGAAAATCATGACACAACCTGTAGAAATGTGTGTTTTATTTTATAGTGAAACCACATCAGGCTATCTGTTGTGTCCACCAAAGGGAATCAAACCCATAATTTTAAGGTTGTTAATCCGTAGACTTACTGCTGTCCCACCAGAGGATCATCACGAAGAAATACTATTTTTTTTTTTTTTTTATCTGTAATTTTAATTATTGTAAAATCCTTCAGTTTTACTTTAGTGAAAACAACCAAAGTTATAGTACCATCTAACCAGATATGCTGAAAATGACACAATCCCTAAAACCTTCAACTGTTTTATTTACTTTATTTGTTTTACAACTTGGAATGTCTCATTATATTTTCATCTAATCACAGCTGAGAACTAACATGCTCACAGGCAATCATAAAGTATATCTAAATAAAGTCAACTCAGTCCTAAACAATGTTGGCATCCAGTTGATGAGTCAATCAACTTTTCTCCTCTTTCAGTTACTGTGACCATACTGCCCTTTAATTTACATTCTCCCAACGAATCTTTGAATGCTTTATGATAACTAACAAATTCAGACCAAATTTTCATATCTCAGTGTCTTTTGCCACCTGTATTTGGACTTTACTGTGATTTGTTTCATTTTCAATAGTGCTTGTTGAGCACATTTATGGTCAGTTATTTATTCATACTTGAATACTCATAACGTAATGAACCAGCCTTCTGACTATTAAGGATTTTTAGTAGTCAAAAACCTTACCTACAATGATTGATTTAATTCAGCCTCCTATACCAATGACTAAATACTCTACTGAACCAAATAGCAGACTCTGTGCTAATTCATGACAGCAACTAAAAAAATAAAATTATTGTCTCTAAAACAAAAATTACTGACAGCTCAGAATAATTTACTTGGCATGTATCATGCAATCAGAAATAGATTTTTTACTCTTTAAAATTTATTTACCAAGTTTCAAAAAACTGTTGTTTCTTTGCAATCTGATTATATTAAAAAAATTTCTATTGAAGAATTATTACTTCATCTAATCAAAGACCCATTTTTCTTACATAGTAGATGTTCCCATTGAATCAACATAGCTTCAACTAATGTTTGACTTACTTTAGCTGAAGATTTTAATTAATTTATTGATTATCAACTTGATTCAGTAATTGTTTTCATATTATAATACGGATTATTTTTTGCCAAGACACAGCGGCTCATAGAACGGCTCCGAGTTTTTGGGGTTTTTTCAAATACAAACTTTTAGCTCATAGCTCCATCATCTGTTGACCGATTTGACATCTAATTACAATTTTGGGCTCAGGAGGATAAACCCTTTTGATTGATGTATCTGACCACGCCCAAGGTCTCATAGATTAATTTACTTTAATCCTGCCTAAAAGAATTCAATTTGATGGTATACTGGTAGAGATCCTAATAAGTAATAAAATCTAATCTAGTATACATATACCCCACACTTGGTATTGGTGGTGCACAAAAATATCTAATATATAAAGTTAACCCATTAACTGCTGCAGGAGCAGCTCAGTTGCCATTTTCTGACTCACAGATAAAACTGAGTTGCCATCAATCACAATAGTAACAGTAATTATTGTCATTCTCACAGAGTTACAGTTATATATGTGCGACTGACAGATATTTCCGTCATTTGCAGCTGAGCCATAGAACTTCAATGAACGAAATATCCATCATCCGCAGTTAATGGGTTAAGTTTGTGTCTGTTTGTTCACACCTTTCAGCCCCTATAATAGTAGGCCTATAAAGTGTACTCAGGTTTCATCTCTGTGACATCACATTCCTAGTGTCAATGAAAACTTTGTAACTGTTTCTTATACATTTCCACATTTCTTGATTAGTCAGCACCAAACTTGACACAGTGACACAGGATGACATGAGGTCATGAGGAGGGTGAACTCCCATTTAATTTCATATCCAATTTAGGAAAACTATGAAATCAGTACAACTTGACACAGTGATAGATGACATATATAAATGTCAATGTGTGTATCTGTTCCTTATACGTTTCCACATTTCTTGAACAATCACCGCCAAACATGACAGTAATACAAGATGACATGATGAAGGTCATGAGGGAAGAGGGGAGAAAAAAAAGGGCTCATATGTTAATTTACTCTAATCCTGCCTAAAAGAACTTCAAGTGTAGCAGCTATTGAGGATTCCCTCTTGTTCACTTTAAAGGATGATGTGTTTAATGATGAATGACTGCACTTTTTCCACAGTTTGTTATACAGTCAGTTGGTCTAAAATCTTTTCTCTTAGATCTTCTTATATATATCACTAATGTAAAAACTGTTCTTGCAATGAGAATATTTTTACTATAACTATATCCCTTTCCAGCTTTGGCAGTATTTTCAGCACAGAAGGTAATAAAGATTACACTAAAGACCAAATACACCCGTTAATTACAAAAGTCTATTTAATCAAACATCTTATATGCAAGAACAGATAAGACATCAACATTAACCTAACTGGTGTACATTACTTTGAAAATTCAATGATACTCAATTTATGTATTATGTAAACTACTAAACTATTTGCAATTTACTTATCATTACTTGAGATATTTTACTTTTCTCAGATTTATATTACTGCTGTATTATAATATGCTAACTTCAAGTTAATCATTACATAGAGGATACCAGTAATAACAAAATTTCTCAAAGAAATAATTACTACATTCGTACCTTTAGTCTGTGCAGTAAGTCTTGAGAAGTAATGATGTGTGTGGCTTCCGTTTCATTAACTCCATGAATAATTCCATCCTCTCCGAGTGTAGGGTATAAAGTTACAACTATTAATAGAAAACAAACATATTATTTCATTTGAACTAACTTTTAATACATCTAAACAGATGCACTTCTCTTTTATCATTAAATTGGCCTTGAAATATTATAGCAAACCACTCTCTGTCAACAATTATACTTTAGCTGCAAGCTTAATTAAATGTGTATAATTATAGCACGCTTGGACTATAGGAATTTAATATATATTTTTTGCTGAATATTAGACTTAATGGCTAAACAAAACAAAATTTACAATCATGAACTGAATAGAAAGACACAATAAAAAAAATTCGTTTTTTTTCCTATAATATTTGTACTCCTAAATAAGTTTCTGGAGAAGAACATAATACTGAATATTGATATCTTTAAGCCAGTAAAACTAACCCTTAAGTTAAAGTCAGTGGATAGTCTATAAAAAACCATATAATGACCCCAACTCATAAAATTAGTTGCTTTCCCAATATTCAAAATAATGAATAGACAAAAAAAATAACAGAACTACCTTGCTTCAAAAATTAAATTACAAATATGTAAGTATTCTCATGAAATAATGTCTTACTGTTCATTCCACAGAGACAATTCAACAAAAAATGTCATTTTAAAAAAATCTCAGATTAGAAAGCTTGAAAGAAAAGGAATGCAGCATTCTTAAAGTATATGGTGAGTTAACAACAAGATATGGAATATCTACATATATATACACACACACACACACACCTGGAAAAAAGTTAAGCACCCCCAAATATTTTTCAGTGAGCATTCAGGTGTGACATTTAAATCAGGCGCGTTTTTTTCCCCACGTGCAACTTGCTCCCTTCTTCACGTCCAATATGCACTATTTTCTCGTGCATCAAATCTGTATTTAAGTCCCGAATTTCTGAATGCAAAATCATTTTAAGTAAGAATGGCAAGAAGACAGATATCAGAGGCGCAGAGATGGCAAATTATTGGCATGCATTCCGCTGGTATGTCCTACAAGGCGATAGGTA